GACACAGACTGATTCATCTAGCAACATTCAGAAGTAAAGCGTTGATAGGTTACCATATGTCAATATAATTTTGTCACAAAATACTTCGCATTAATTCATAGAGGCCTGATACTTAGTTTTGCTAACAAGAGAAAAACATATACAGTTACAGTACCATATACAATTAAGTAAATAGAACAGAGTTTATGATATAATAAATACCGTATGTGGAAAGTATTACAAACATTACTTTGGTATATTCCTTCCTTATATTTTAAAGTAACACATGATAATAATAGAATAGGATGAAGTTTAAAATATGTTGCAACGAATTGCTTCAAATAGAACTCCGTATGTTATTTAATATACATATGAATTGACGAATTCAATACCAATGAACATTAACACAAGATTCAATAATCATTTCGCGTACTTGATTGCTTGCAATGGACCCTCGTGTGGACAACAATGCGGGTACGTTCGTATGGAATGGAACGAAAACTAGTTAACATCTCAAAGTCTCCCATTATAAAAAAAACATATTGGCGACGCAATATCGTCCTCAATTTCAATGGCTCTTTACAATACCCCGGCCTCATTATAAGGGTTCTTTGTCTTCTAAGAACCAGTTCCTTTATTTAATTCTTTTATTTTGCTTAAGCAACGGCACATTCAATAAGTGTATCAAATCAAAACTTCCCCCCTATGAACTTCTTTATTCATGACCTCTTAAAATCCAGTCAATGAATAGTCTTAACTTTTGTATTAATTAAACATGATTGTTACTATAAAACCCGAAAAATACCGCTCACCGTCTCAGTTGTGCTTGATTTTAGCCATACAAAACTTTTCAGTTCAATAAGGAAGTCGGTATAAAGTGAATGCATTTTAATTATACAATTTTGAATCATCGTACCTTTGAGCTGTAATTAAATTGCACTTTTTGGGTACAATTACAATTAATTGCACATTTATGTGTATTTCACTTTACAAACGGATAGTAAACAAAATATAAGACCACGGTCTAGTGCAAGTCAACGTCGCGTGATTCCCCTATCACTTATTGTTAACACAACCATCATTTAATGAAATAGGTATATAATGGATCGCTTTGTTACTGTAATTAATACAACGTCGTGATTTCTTATACAATTAAAATAACCTTTTATTTAAGAATCGTATTCTGAACGGAATAAAGTTTATTTATGAAAAAGTTCTTTTAAAAATTAACTGCTATCAAACTAACTCAGACAAATTCATCTTATTTAAGCATGATGTATAAAATCTGATCTCAAACAGCGGCAACAATAAATAAGGCTGACCAGAACAAATACATAGAAGTTCTATTCATTTTTTTGTGTCACTAATTACTTGTTAAATGTGTTATTGACACGCCCGCATTGTTAATCAAAACTGGGACCTTGGACGACAAAATCCATAGACAACAATAACAATAGTCGCGGATTCGTCATTATAGAAAACGTGACTCCTGCTCCAACCGCGTCCATTTGGTATATCTTGTTTATTTTCATCACCCTGAATTTTTTCTTCCATGTTTAATAAATTTTTTTTGCCGTTGACGTGACGTCCTTTTAATATTTCATGACCTCGATAAATAGTAATCACTTGATTATTATTTATTCTACAACTATATGTAACCTTCAGTGAACGTAGATTAAATTCATACATTTGCGGAACTAACGTACTCTAGTGTAAGCTTTAATAATATTGATACGAAAATCTTAATCCATCCTAATTGAGTTTAATTTTAATATAAAGTTACAGATAAATAAGTATTTTAGATATTTCATTGTTATGAAACTTTGTCTTTATTAAAATACAATAACTTGGGAATAGTTTAAGCGATAAAAAAAGCGTTTTTAATATTTTCGATATGAAATATAATTTCATTACTATTTTCTTACAAAAGTTTATACACATTTCCTTATTGCACATTTACAATAATAAAGTATATAAAATAGATTTTTAAAATAATTATTATCAAATATATTTAAATTTCTCTTTTTTTTGTTTCATGTACCCTACCAATGATGAACATTTAGTATAAAGAGGTATTCATATTTTTTTTAAATTTCATTTACGACACTTATGGATCAATCTTCACAATGCCAACTGGGCTTAAAGTCTATTTCAAATATACTGTGAGTTGCACATCTAATTAATAAATATTCATCATAAGCATATTTACTCATTTAAAAGTAAAACACATACAATTGCTTGTTGTATATGTACTATTAATTATTAATTTACAATACATTATACGATTTTTCTAGATATTTTCTTTTACAAATTAAGAAATTTAAATCGAAATAATACATAGTTACAACAGTTATCTTTAATACAAGATGTGTTTATAATGTCTAGGAATCAAAGAACAAATCATCATGATCTAGAATGCCATAATATAACGCAGTATAGTTCTAGATGGAATTAACATCTATCATTATTCAATCAATTGAATTTTCAGTAGCTATATATATTAGCTGTAATAGATCTCCTGATATATTTTCAATGATATTTCTTTATTCTTGAAATTTATGTATCATACTTTCATGTGATCATAAATTATAAGACAGAGCATGTCTCAAAAGTAGTTTTAAGTCTGCGTATTATTATCAAAAGTACATGCGTTTTTTATAATGTTCTAACGCTTTTAATTAATACATGATGTTTTCTTATTCAACATGAGTTTATCTTGTAAAAATTTGGTATATAAAACGCATACTGATGATTTGAAGTAGCCACGCACCTGGTGAGTCCTTGTTTCTAAGAACTGCAAACAATTTTTATTTCACATGCTAAATACACATCGCCGCCACAACTTTGATGTCATTTAGCGAAAACAATGGAAAGATTTGAGCGCTTAGTTGCATACTAATTCGGTTATTTTATTTAAATTAACTTATTCTTATTATAAACGTGACATTGGCTCCAAACTAAAATGTATAGAAATCTATTAATACGCAAATGATTTGACTAAAGATATCGATTTATGTTATATAATGCAAAAATAACTTGCAGTTTCCTGAAATAAAAAAATAATATATGGTTTCTTTGAATAAATATTTAAACTTTATAAGTATAATTTAGTAAAGTTCCTTATTCTGATGATTTCTTTACCGTTATAAAGACGGCAGCCTCATCGTTTTGTCACGCACATGTAACACATGCATCCGTTATGAGAGCCTTCATCCGCGATTTGCATCAGCGTGCCTTATGAGCTTTCTGCCACTTTTCGCCATCATAAAGTAATCAAATAAGTGATCAAACGCATCAATAAATCAGAAGCGGCGAGACTTTCCCCGCCTGTCATTATGATTCGTCATGCTGCCTAACGCTGCATATTTTCTGACATTTTGCCAGCTTTTTGTTCTTCATCTAGGAGTATGTATAATGACAGCTGTTAGATTACCGTACGTTCTTTATGACGCTCGGAAATGCTTAATGTGATAATGTTCGAGAGTTACTGTAAAATAAATATATTTACAGTATTGTCTTATTCACAAGTTGAATCAGATTCTCTCGAGCATGTTAATTCGATGCCAAAGCTAAGGTTTTTATTTTTAACTATCAACAAATCAATCAGATTCATTAAAATAACAGACGTCTCAGGAAAACTTTTATAAGAAATTACTTAATATTCTTGGAGCCTGCCACGCTCGTACATTAACGAATAAATAAATGCGGGAGACAGAATATTTAATTCAGATCTAGCTACAAAATAGATGTGTCGTTAAAATCTTGATAATGCTGCGGTTTGAAAAAAAAAGTAGGTAGTTTATAATCATTGGTATGCGACTTACGAACACTGGAACAAAAGACTATGTAGCATCCTGTCCCCTCGACACTTCGCCTCTTATTATTATACTAATGACAAATTTATATTAGTGCTTAGACCTGCGATAATAAAAAAACAGGTATCTTTATCAGATTTAGATTTCTTTTCGAGAGCCAATCGTATTGCATCTATCAACGGCAACTGATTAGGGCTGTACAATTTTCATTACAAAATAAGTATTTTTTCGTGTTTAGTCATCGGCTTCGAAAGTTAGCGAAATAAGCTATAAATTTCATTATACTACACCTCTACATAACTTCCGCCCTCATCTCCATCGGAGAATTTTGGTTCTGTTTATTAGATTTTCGAAAGCAAAATGCAATTTTGTCTGCTTGGCTCTATGTACACGTATCTCTGAGGCTTACTGAAATAATATTATTCAAATGCAATCTGAATTTAATGTACCCACAAAAATCTCAGCTATATTGTTCGTCACCTTAAAGATAGAAAATTAATGTATCTGTAAAATATAATATAATTTTTATGTTAAATCTAAAAATACTTAATAAACTATTGTAAAATTACTACTACATACAATCAAAATCTATTGTGCCTTTACAATAAGGTAGATAAATTTAGTAATATATTTTAATACATATGCAAGTTGAAAACATCAAACCTGATTTAAGAATCCCAGATGTATTCTATATAGATGTGATGGTGATATCCTTAATCTGCATTAAAAGCGTTGCGACCGCTCGGGCCCTCGGATTTTTATGCAAATATCATACGATCCAAGATTGAATGTCCGTCACTGGTAGGATTGTTTTCGTCTAATTTGAATCTCTAATATAAACACATTATAGTTTTCGCTATGATAAGTAATACACATGAGACAGTATTACATCATTGCAAAACATTTATGAAATGAATTCAGAAGCAGCGATCCAATTGGCTTAGCATATCAGAGTATACATTAAGACTTGGATTATATTAATCTATCGATTCCTTATCGGTATATAATTTGTTTAAGAACTTATAGTAATGCTAAAATACAATAACACATTAATGCAATGATTTCACAATCTCCTTTGTGTTGTACATTAATATATAAATCTATATAAATGAGTTTACTTTTCATATGATCCTAAGATGTTATTCCCACCAATGGTGTCGTGTTACGCAATAAGCAATTTATTTTCTATGTATGCTTAAGTCAGTGTTATTGAAAGAGCTGTTTCGTACGAATTCCCGTTGTATAATCAACGCTTTCCTCGCGTATTTTTATTGATTCTCCCAGAGCGGGCTTCCTCCCACCGCCTCCGAGGAAGCTGGGCAGGGAGCAGCCTCCTACCGCGCATTCATAATCGTATCGACACACACCACACATCCGATCTAAACACCACCTTAATTTTAACACCATACAGCCCAAAATCCAAACACAGCTCCGTCTTAAAGAATGGAACGGAATCGTGCGTTACCAGCCACGAGACATTAAGCGTCATATAAATTACATTAGCATATAAATAAAGTATTTTTGTTGTCGCTCTGCCTGTAGTACTGACTGGGTCTTTTACGACGTCGGGCAGGGTTAACCCGGGATATTTTTGTTCTTTTTAGATAAATCCACGGTCTTAACGACCGTAAGCAAGTACATGTTATCGGTATACATTTATTGCTTATTCGAACTCATAAATAATTCTAAAGGAAACATGTTATTAATTTCATTGTGAGTCCTACTTATTTTCCTACGTCAGAGCACAATGCAGCTTTTTAAGTTGAATGGTTATCGCATCGCGGGACGTATTATCCACAGTTGTATTATAAAATGCTTACCAATTATGTTTCTTTATTTTATTTTAATCCTGGTAGATTTTCTATCATTGAACAGTTTTTAAGATAACGTTTAATATAGGGAGTGAACATTTAAATTTTATATTTAATACATTTCGCACATTTTTTAATATTTTATATTAATATTTATTGATATCATTATCAATAAATCATATATTCTGCAACCTAATATCATTTTAGAGTAAATTGCCAATTCATCTATAAAATAACGTATAACCTGAACCTTCGGGAAATCTAATTCCTGTGGGTATTAAGATTAATCATTGATATAATATCAATGTTCTATAAGAGACTTGTTACGAATTTATTTATATATGAAAAAGGAAATTATTACTCCTTTTTCTTACAAAAACACATTGAGTTCTATTTGTTTATAAGAGTTTCATTTGCATTTTTATTAAATGGCGCTTATAAGTTTAAAGTAAAACATAACTATAAAAATGATGTTGTTAAAATTAAAAGACATTTTATATCAAAACGTCGGAGTCGAAATTGGAATTGGTATTTGAAAACAAAATAAAACCAATACGTTTCTTAGATCGAAATCTGTAGAATAATTTGGGTTGCGACATGTAGATAAATGAGGCTTTATATCGGTCACCACCCCCGGCGCCCCCTTGAGAAGGCAACTGTTTAGCTATTAAATATAGGAAGCGTTCGTTATTGAGTTTTGATAGTTTCTTATTATTAAATACAACCATACCTTTCTTTCATGATTATCACACACTCTATTTCGATTACTTTGCATTTCAAATTCGCGTGAAAATACATGGAATTGACTTCCGTCAACGCATTCAAATTCAAACCCGAAAAGGCTTTATTAAAACAAAAATGTGAATCAGCAAAAAGTTCCTACGTACAAATCAAAAATATATGCACCCTATGGTTACGTGACGTGCTTTTGAAGTTACAATTTACATGAGCACAGCCTACGATTTATTTAAATCCCACTGTTGGTTGTCGCTAGAAATTTCTCTTTACGACATCCTCGGAAAAGACTTTCATAACTAATATGAACATAATTCATTTTAATATTTTTCAAGTTTAAATATTATAACAATTATAAAATTCATTATATCTTAAATTGGAGAGGTTTGGACATGATCTATTCATCTCGTTGTGGACCCAAAATCTTGTTTCAAACATGCTTATATATATATCAAATAATATCCAACACTTTTTGGTATCGATACCACCTAAAAATTACCATCTCATCTCACAATACGGCCTCAAAGCTCGGAAGCTTGCTAACGTATTTCGCTTATAAGCTTCTTATCTATTTCGACGCCATTACATTTGAATGTTCTATACATTTGGCATCTACAGCCACCCACAAATTATTCTCATTCGTAGTTACTTCAAATAGAAAGTTAAGAACTGTTTTCGGGTTTAATGTATTGTATTTAACTTTATTATCATTATAACTAACAAGTATCTTATATATATGTTAATCAAATTAATTAAATACGTTATAAATGACCCATCTTCTCATTAATGAATTCCAGATACCTAAAGCTGCTTCTATGTATCTGTTTAGCGGTGATACCTACTGAGGAAAAATCACACCCCAATTTCCACGACCTATCAGAGTCCTCTAATGAAGGCTAGGCGTCGATGGATGTTTGTTTCGTGTAATTAAAACTCAGCACGCATGCGCCGACCACGCCCCACAGCCTCCGCACCCCCGGCCATTTAATTACTGCCAAGACATTACCCTTAGTACCTTATATAAAAGCCTTTTGGTCTGGGTGATTGTGTAACTTACATAGAATATTTTGAACACATGAAACAATCGTCTGTATTAGGTAAAAAGAAATTTTAAATATATTGGTTGATTAATTTTTTTTTCATTAAATGAACGATCTCACGAATCAAAAATATAACGATTTATTTACTTATTTTGGTTCCGCTACATTAGAAACAGTGTATTATTTTTTTATTACTCTGTTCCAAACTAACGGGTTAGGGTTAGTCATAGGCTAGTAGGAACAAACTCATTTGTTACCCAGGAGTAGCTATGCGGAGCACGTTCGTAGCTTTCTCATTTTTCACTACATTGGTCTTATGTGTGAATTATTGTTTGTTGCTCTCTCCTTCCTAAATATTTGGGGGTGGCGTTCTTTCATTATTTACTTTTTATGTTACACTTAATAGTTCATAGCTTTATTTATAAATAGCTTGTTTTCGTTATATATGGAAACAAAAAATACTCTAATAATTCGTACGACAGTATACATTAATACTATGTTGCAATTGACGTGTATAACCTTTTAAACTACTTACCTTTTCTATTTTTATCTTATACATATACTTAAATAGGTATGCACAGTTGTATAAATAGCAGGATGCAAATAAAATACATTTTCAATTACAAATACATCGCTTTAAATAACTTAATGTACAAGATGTTTCGTAACTCTGTAATGAAAACATATATTGGGAATGGAAGCGCTCTAAACGACCCTATTAATATTTAAAACAGTCCATTATGCTTCGCTATGCCCTAATGTAGTGCGCGCATGCTAAAGTATTCTCGCGCCGAATAAGAATTCCTTTTTCAACAAAAGCTACGACGCTTAGTTGTCCAAACTCAATCTAAATTTCATTTTACGCCTCAAGTATCACGTACGAGCATATAGAATAGACCGTCCTCGGTAAGAACGTTCGCTGTCAAATTTTAATTTCTCTCTCAAATATTTACCGAAGGAAAAAGGATTCCCCGACGGGCCGTGCTCTAATAAGTTTTCCATAAGCGTAGGGGGACTGTAGGTAGAAGGACATAGGGGGATGTGGGAGTGTACCCCACTCTGTAGAGAGGGGTAAAGAAGGCTCTTATTGTGTTTGCCGAAGCCGGCGCATCCAAGCGCATACCTAACAAGATGAATATGTACTCGGCCACCCCTTTCGGACCGCCCCCGTACCATCTGAAATACTGCACTGAAATTGCATTTTCGAATACTAATTCCACCATTCTGTTACGTATGTCATCCTTGGTCTGTCACGTTCCTTTTGTGTCTGGTCCCCAGTTTGCGGTTGCATCTTTAATTCATTTTGGAAGTGGACTCAATTTACAAAAGAGCAATCGATTATTTTAAAAAGGGTTTACTTTTTATTCAACGTTGACATCAACATTTGATGTATAATGAAATGTGTTTTAATGTGCGGTAGGCACAAAACGAATATAGTCTCAAAATTATACAATAATACTTATAATTTTGTTCTTCACATATATAACTAAAAAATATCTAGCACCTTTGCGATAAGAGGATCTGATAGTGTATTGTGTGTATAGTATATCGAAATTGTGGTCAATGATTTACAGTCTATGTTTGAGGCAAATTTATGACGTAATACCGAATATGTTAAACTAACCGATGTTGACGTTTGGTACGCATTCCGAGTCTCTTGTAACGACATGATGAAATTCTCTTAAATAAGTGCAGTTTTGTATTATATACAGCAATAAATTTTACAAAAAACATTCCTGTCAACTACTTAAACCTGAGAACAAGATAAGACAGACTTTCAGATCGATTTAGTCGAACAAACCGAATGGAGTCCTATTTTTTAATACGTCATAAATATTCGACGAAAGTAAAATCCTGAACACTGAATCAGATTTATTTCCTTATCCTTCTTCGAGCGGTGCAAAATTTAAAAGTTTTAAGTCCCCGTGCTATTGTCGCCACCAAATCGGACCAATATCACTTTTTCCCTCTGATTATTTCAACCAGTTCTTAATGTTTTTATTTAACTCCGAGTATTGAGTGGTGTCTGCTTTCGCCGCTCGTCCTAATTTATGGCGGAGATCGCCACTCGCTTTTTTCCACATCCAGACCGCCCCCATGCAGCGGGATAACAGCTCAGCAACTGATAAAACTTCGGGATGTATGCCATTCATTGAACGCTTAGAATAAATATGGATCGTTTTTAGGAACATAATCGTTTATGGATACCAAACCGCTATGTTGATTCTTCGATCGTGCGGTGACACAAAAAGCCGATGGTTAAGCGAGGAACCCGCGATCCTCGAGCGAGTTTTTGCTTGCGTATCGCTTTAATTACCTCGTGGACTCAGGAACGCGTCGCCAAGTTATTTCGGTATGTGAATCCGTTCACACAAAACTCAGAGGAAAAAGGTTTTGGTGTTTAAGAACTTAATTACCTGATATTCTTGTGTTAAAGTTTAAAACTTTTACAAAATTATCGTGATTATATAATAAAGTAACACATTTAGTTACAGTACGAGACTTGGAGTTTTAAATTTTTTTCGAACGAGAGTTTAGTGTAATACTATATGGAATAGTTTACAAATTGATACGTTATAACTTTTCACGCCAGACTGTTGATACTTAATCTTAACCCTCGAAAAGTGCGAATGTCTACATAGAGAAAGATCACTCCGGCAAAACCTCCCCTAAAACGCCTCAGAAACATACATTTTTAACGTCCTCCGTCCGAGGGTGGAGGAGGAGAATTACAAAAGAAAACAGCCTTAATTTCCAATGTCATCTCCGTTCCACCTAATCCTCTTATCTTCTTATATTTTTGGCCTTTGAAAATTCATTTATTTTCGTTTGTTTAAGGAAAACCGCTTCAAATTTAGGTAAACGAACCTGTTTTATTGATTCAGTTATTTTTATTAAGCCTTAAGTGGAAAATAAAACTTCTTATGATGTCCCTTTTCAATAATATCTAAAATGTACAATTTTGTTCGAAACAATAAACGATTACTAAAAGCAATAGTATAAAATAGCGTTAATATTATCTCTGTAAACAAGAAGCTTTAGTCAGATCAGTTGACTACAAAATCATTCAATTCAACATTGTATTCAAACAATAATAAAATACATCGCTTATTATCTTAAAAGATGACCACACTAAGTACTATAAAACTGTAATGTATACTATTGTAATTCAGACCCTCACTTGTTATTTTACAAATAAAACAATTTCTATTTTATGTAATGGTTATTTTGGCGTTCGTAGAGGCAGTAACAATATCTCGCTATAGGAATAAAATACAAAGCGCAATAATATGCCAAAAAAACAATTCAGAAGATATTTAAATGAACGATAGACATAAAAGGTAAAATTTTCAACCATTGAGAGTATTTTAATATTGTATATTTTTTAATAAGTAGTGTATTTAAAGTTGCTTACTTTATTTATTAAGACTCAACCTGTTTTACTTTATGTCACTCAAACAAAGATTTAAAAAAACGATATTAACTTTGAACAAATCTGGATATATTCCGGTTGGCGATTCCTTTTAATAGATGCAGATTCAGCGGACAATAGCCGTCAGTGGATGTCACATTAATCAGTTATAGTACAACCATAATTCAATCAATACAGTGGTCAGAATAACGAGGATGCCACTTCTATGGATATGACTATAAAAATATAAAAAAATATTAACTATTTTTATCATTTTTCGTTTTATCACAATCATATAATCTTAGTTTGAATTAATTCTACTAGTCCTAAATCGTCATAATCATCACATATCTTGGATCACTATAAAATATTTTGTAGGTTATTCTAAATGATAATCGCATCATGTTTTATAACGTACTTTAGTTTGTAAAACGAAACGACCATAAATCGATTCTAATGAGATTGTAAACTTAAAAGCATATCTTAAACAATTTATGTTGGACATGACACAAGCTTCAAGTGTTTATGCACTGGTTCAAGTACCGCATCCATCTAACAGCTATCGGCCATCTTGCCGGGAGCGACCCGACTCTTTCATATTTTACATAGAATGCATCGTCAATACAAGAGAACAGCCAGCCTCACTCATTCAGACTTTATTTCATCAGGATTCGCAAATAAGGATTTATCAATCACCGAATTTCGTTTTTAGTAGTGAATATTAAGTTGTTTTCGAATAAAACTCAATTTATTTCTCAAATCAAATATATCCCGGAGTATCTAATAATTTATGACGTTTGGTCCGTTCCGAGAATTAACTATATTAGAGGTCATTAATTGGACTAAACCAATAAAGACGACATCCTTAGACACGTGTAGGGTTTTTTTATGAATAAAAAATAAAATGATGGCCGCAGAGTATTCTAAATATTTCTTTGGGCAGCCGATGTTCAATTTTTAATTGTTGTTTTTGTTCGGATTCCATTTTTTGTGATTGATTTACCATGCAGTTGTCATTGTATACGTTCAGGTTTTGATCACGTTTTTTATCAGAGCGTCCAATTGTTTGTATGTTTTTAGAAAACTGCTCAGACTCGTTTTAATCTTCAAGTAATAAAAGATATTTAGATTAACAAAAATATGAATAGGTCTCCGAAATCACTTATTTTATCTTAAACTAAACAATTTCAGAAATTGATTGATTGGTGACTCGACTAAAACTAGTCAAATGTTGCACAATCTTTATTATTAGGTCCATACCTACAACATATATTCCATATTTTTAGTTCTATGTATTTCTTGACTTACTTTAGCAAATAGGTTGGTCAAATTCTAGCTTAGCCAATTATTTTAATCTTAACAAGTATAAAACAAAAAAAAATACATGTACTTTATATAAAGACGAATAAAAACACGAAATTCAGACTATCATTCAACTAGACATAATTCACCGGAATTTACTTTAGATATCAAAATAAAACACTAATTTTAAATATCACGATAAACGGGAATAGAAGCCGGGACGCGCCAGTCACTGTGGAAACATTTATCATATCGACGGCTGCACCCCACATTAATACTGACGTTTTATAATATTCATTAAATGGTAGAGCTTTGACGATACGTGATCTAGGGCAAAGGCGAAGGTGCATTAGCAAAATAAATTTACTTTCAATCAAATTTACTTTATACGTACCTACATATATCCATTTATGATATCATTATGTACATGCTTCCGACATTTTATTCATTTCTTTTAAATAATTCAATAATATCAAAGACTATTTGATTTAAATTTAATACATCATTAAATATGTTTATTGGATAACAGATTTGTATAACAGACTTTGAGATGTTTTATTTAAATTTACCTATTACATTTGAATTACATCTGCCTTAATAAAGTTTGAGTGAGCTCATAAAACTTTTCCAGACTCGATCTGAAGGCGCCTTACACTTAGTAACTTGTTAAAATAGACATTTTTATGACTAATCGAAGGCAACAAAATTATCATGGTATATTTGCACGGTACCAGATCTGGGCCAATTTAAAAGAGTAATCTTAATAACAGACAAAACATAACATAAAGCGTTTTACGATCGACCCCGTTGATTTATTTCACATTCATAATTTGATGTTTGGTACATCACAGGATTTAATAACTTCAGATAGAGATCGCTTAGACCAAACGTTGAACTGTTCGCGTCTTGTGTAACAATCATAAAATACACATTAAGAGGCATTAAGAATCGACTTTACCGTTCATATAGCACCGATCTTTCACTCTTAATCTTGTTATTTCAAAACGTAAATTTTATTATTGACGTCATAACTGTTTTTATTACTATAAATTATTACGCTTATATTATCATAAATGTTAGAAATTCGTAAAAAAATATGTAATAAAATCTCATAATACATATATTCGTGCTGTTAAAATGAAGAAATCATCGCATCAAGTGTTGCTTTCAATTACAGACATTGAATTATAATTTGAACATGAAATGAAGTTTCATTGTTTTTCTATCACTCGATAGGTGAAAGGGAACGTGACTGATGATCAAGGAAACAAACAAATCTAACGTTTCTAACTATTATCGACAAGAATTAGCTGAGTTGAGCATTTAATTACCTTTGTAAAGTACCAAGATGCAGCATTCGGGCTACACTTATCAAACGTCCATAATAATTTGAGACGCGTTGTTATGGCGAGGTGCAAAAGTGGCTGACCTGACATCACGCCTGTGACCCTCGCGGCGTTCC